GGGGGTGGTGGACAACGAGCGATATCGAAGACAGTCTTCTTCACCTTTTAACGCTGCAGCCTGTGTCGTCCCCTCTCCCCCTTCGCTCCTGGATCCGCCTATGTGCTTTGTGAAAATATAATTATTTGCGTTTACAAGGAACAGTCCTAATCCGGTAATGTGGCAGAACATTAGCAGCGAAATTTTGCCTTCCGGTAAGTTCAAACAGCAGCGACAGAAACTGAGGCTTAAATTCAGATTGCGGAGCTCAAAATCTTTGCGAATATTCGGTTCCTAATTGAAACGGATATGAGTTCTTCCACGTCTGTGCCATACGTCTGCAACTTACATATGAGCAAAAACTAAAGATTGAAAGTCTTGAGTTTTCCAAATTTTGAAGGAACTGGCATTTCTAATTCCAGTTTGTACGAAACACAAAGTGCTGGTGGATCTGCTCATTATGGTCAGCCCGCAGTCCCAACAGCAGTTTCGGAATATGGTACTACTGATTATTACGAGCCAAAGATAGCAGAGCAAATTCCCACACGAAGTCGTGGATCTTTGCTTGTGCGCTTTTTCTTTTTCAAAAATTTGTAAAAAATTTTAAAAAACATCTTTTTCTCGAATAACATGGAAAATCTAACGAGTATTTTGTTCCAGCTGTTGAATTTGTGTTGCCCTGAAACTGATACATTGTTTACTTTAGTCCCCTTTAAGCTCCTAAAATGTATAGCTAATAATACAAAATCTCATAGATTGCTGGTAATGAACATGAAGATCTCAAATTTTCTAGAATATCGAGCAGATTTTTTTTAGGGGAATCGTTATACTTATTTATACCAGCCCAGTCGTTTGTTGATGTTATCTGTAAAAGTTTCAGCATTATTGGGTGGCCCTAATCGTTGTTCATGGGGATAAATGCGGGAAATTAAATTAGAAAGAATAAAATTTAGTTGGAAGGAAGAGGGCGAAAAAGAAGAAATGAAGAAAAGAGAAGGCGAAGCTGCTGATTTAGGAATTTTCTTGAAATTGACTTTAACTCATTCATTTTTTTTAATTGATCAGTTAGTCATTTACAGAATGTATTGGCACGAAATTTCAAAACTATTGAAAAGACCACGCTTTATCTGGCATTCTTCATCAACGTTATCCTGCTCTTCCACCGGGTACAAATTATGCACCAAGAAGCACCAAGTTCGTTTAAATTTTCCAGAAACAGCAAGTTGTATTTGCATTAAAACCGAAGTAATCGCGAAATGATACCTAAATTATTTTCCAATTCCTTCTTATCTCTTGTGGTCTAGTATGCTCTACAAGCACAATCTAGAAAATTAGCTCAAAATAACGGATTTTCGCCAAACACTAACTGCAAGGATAATTATTTTATGAGCAATTTGGCTCAGAACAAACGTCAGGATTACCAGCAAGTTGATGGTGTGGCGATGCAACGTTGGACAGAGCAACTGGAAAATTTAGTAACTGCCTAATTGGGGAAGCATGTGATGAGCTGCAGCTGTTTCAAGTATCCAACGAAGTAATTTCTTCCCACAATCGAAGGGCTACACTTTTACAGGTAAAAGTAAAGCAGAGGATAATGAATCGGATGATGTGGAGTTAGTATTCATTACCGGTGTGGTGATACCTTACACGTCGTACGAAGTGACCGGTTGGATGCTGGCGCAGGTTATTTTAATTTCTTATAAATATTCTAAGTAGCTTTGAGAGGGAGGTTTGCCGATAATTTATTGTTCAAATTATTTTAATTTGTTTTTCGGTAAAAATTTTCTCAACTTCGATCTAAGAATTTAAGAAACTGGTTTCTTATTTATTACAACTTTAATTCGTTTTCAGCGGAAAACCACTTTTGCGAATTTGAATTAGAAATTGGAAAAAAGAGGTTTTGAATTTTTTTCAGCTCTTGTACTGGTTGAGTGTTTTGCATGCGATCGCGTCATTTGCCCTCTTGGTGTCCTTTTATCAACTGAAGGTATGTATTGTTAAATTTCAATAATAACTTCCCCTTGTTTTTTTTGAGCAAGTGGGCAGTGGTAAAAGTCATTATTGTTAGAAGAGAAAATTTAGGAAATTAGGCCAAAATACGCAAAATTTGGCCACAGGGACGGCGCGGCCACGTTGGGGATACAAAAATTGGCCAAAAAAGCATTAAAGCCTACTCAAAAATACATAATTTATAAAAAGCTTGTGAATAATTGGGATTTAACAAATTCGATACCTTGTTAGGCGAAATGAAAGAACTGAGATATGCTGTTGTGGGAATGTTATAATTAAATTTCTGTTTGATTTCTGTTTGTGTAAGGTATACTTGGAAATTAAAATGCTTCCTAAATTTTTTCCTTGTGAAAGGGGCTCGTCGACTGCTTTAATCAGAATGAGCTGCTTTTTTGATAAAGACATTTTAGCTTATTTTCAATGAAAACGTGTAATGAGATGTGAAAAAATTGAACTTGCTCGTTTCTTCTAAATTTAAATTTTATTATTGTAAGTGTTTTTTTTGTAGTTCAGCAAAAATATGGAAAATCGAAAACTTATAACAATAAAATGCATAAAATGCTCATGATTTTTAATCCTAGTGTATGTAATGGCCTGAAAATTAAAGCCTTTTTTGTGCAGTGAAGTGTTGCTGAATTTTCCAGATCCCACTGATAACATTTAAACGCGAGAAAGAAGTGGCACGTCGTTTGATGTTTGACGGGTGTTGGCTTACCGAAGAAGATGATGAGGAGCGAACTTTAATTAACACTGTCTTCTGGTAAGATAATTTCGCAGTGATCACTTTTCATTTCAAAGAAATATAAATTGTAATAAAATGGTCAGATCTTCCCTCCTCTCCCCCGCCCCGTCCCTCGTTATCCCGTATTTTCTCTGTATGAGAGCGGGAGGTATTTGGGAAGTTATATGAGTGGCAGTAAATGCCAACGGCAACCAGTCGATGGCTTCCTCTTTCAAGAGTTACTTACAGCCAAGCTGGTAGCCGGAACTATTCCTATTTTGTCTCTCTGTGAGAGGCATTTTTAGCTCTCAAAGGCAAATGGAGGTACTCGAAAGCGATATAAGAGATAATTCTTCGCTAAAACTTCTTCACTGGATTATTGTCTCTGATGGTCATCTGAAAAGTCAAGTAAAATCGCTTTATCAACTAATTCCAGTAAAAATCTGCTGTGAAGACAAATCTAACGGTTGTTTTTGGCGGTGAGACATCTACACCGAACCCTCTCCAGAGCCTAGGAGTATGCCCTACTGACTAATACATCGAGTTCTACAGATGAACTTATTACATCGTCCCAAATGGGTGTTAGTCCATCCGTTCCATTCAGGTATATCGATCGGATTGTAATCAGTTCGAAATCGTTTCCCATGAAATACTGGGATAAATTTGTTCGCCGAAAAACGAAACAAAAGTTCCGCGACCAAGTGGATGAGGAAACTCTAATTCTTGTTTTGGGTGAAGATAGGCCAGCTACTGATACCACCTTTGATTACAGGTTCTTCTACTTATTTCTTTTCAATTTTTTCTAAACATACCATAGCTGGGCTCAGAAAATCAGTACTGTGTGAAGTCAGTAACCAAAACTCCCTTCGTGCACTCTGTCTGAGAGGCGGAGGCATGCAAAATTTGCCCGGTGGCAGGATAAGCCAATTGGTACTATCTGCCAGTCCCTGTTCCAAAAGCTGCTTAAAAGCAAGCTTGTATTAGAAACCATTGGAAAAACGTTTGAAATTTGATTTAAAAGTATAATCGCTGTTTGAAAACCATACTTTTAAATCAGAATTCCGTGAAAAAAAAATTTCTTCCTACCCCCTCCTCCCATCTCTCCCCTTTACAGCTTCTTTAATGTTCTCACATCTCATTAATCTTTATTTATTTGTAATGTAATAATTTATGCCATAATCATTATACTAATGAGATTCAGTTGTGATGCTGAATTCAGATGTGTACAGCTTAATGAATAAAACATCTTTTTCTTAGCTAAATTATTATTTTTCCGCATAATTATAGCTTTCGGTTCTGGATATTTTTAACATAAATCGTAATTGGCCAGCCTTTATAATTCTATCTAAGCCTAATCATGGCACCATTTAATTGAACATTTAATGGCAACAGATAATTTTTGATAAAACTACTGATGTTCCCTTCCGTGTGAAGTAAGTTGATGACCATTTGCGAGTTTTTGTTGAAATATAGTGATTTTGCTTTGTATTTCTAATGTCCACACTCTTTTTATTTAGATACACCTGTTGGCTCTGGCTTGGAGTCATTCTGACCAATGGTCAGTTTCTGTATCGAGTGCATTACTTGTTATGCTCAGCATGTGGTGTCTTTGTGTCACCATTTTTCTATGCCTTCCACTTGGTTGACGTCGTTCTATCGTTTCCTATGTTAAAAGCTATTTTACAATCTGTTACACACAACTTGCAACAGGTAAACTGTTGGTGAAATGTAGATTTTTCTTTTTTTTCGCATGAAACATGCCGCTTTTTCCAGTCTAGAAAACTGAGAGGGCGTTCAAAGCTACAAGTTGAGGGAATCGGATCTCGTAAGAGGGATAAAATCATTTAAATAATACCGGTAAAATCATCTAAATGAAGATATTTTTTGAAATTCTACTACGAAAAAATATAGATATGCTTGTATTAAAAAAACCAGAGACGAATTTCATCGGTGTTTTCCTTTTTCTGTAAAAAATTATACTGCCTTAGTGCCTTCGAAAAGGAGTACATAGGTAGGCAGTGACCACTATCTGAAAGCATATAGCTCAGGGATGATGGTCTTGGCACATTCCAGTAATATGACCAACATTCAAATCGCCACGCCAGTTGTCTGAGCATTAGAATAATAGCAACGTTGATAACATTTAATATATATATATACTATTGTAATAGTATATA